GTAGATACTTGAAAAATCTTGATTTCTGTGTGTGTGTTTAGGAGAATAAATTTATAAAATGAAACAAATACTTTTAAATGGGTTCTGCTTTTTTCTTTTGCTAGGGGGAAAAAACAATAGGGCAGCGAAGTGGTGAGGTAGATAGAACACTGGGCTCGGAACCAGGAAGAACTCCTCTTCCTGAGTTCAAATCTAGCCTAAGACACTCACTAGCTGTGTGACCCTGGGCAAATCGCTTAACCCTATTTGCCTCAATTCCTCATCTAGGAGGAATGAGCTGGAGAAGGAGATGACAAACCACTCTTCTCCCTTTGCCAAAAGAAACCTCAAATGAGGTCATGGAGTCATACACAACTGAACAACAGCAGAAAGACTAATTGTTCTTCTCAATAGTGGTTGTGGCACCTTTTCTCATTTTGTTTTCCTATCATTGCAATTTCAGTAGTTTTAGAAAAAGCATGTTGTTGTTTTGATATATTTGGGATTATTAGAAATTGTTAACATTCAAAGCTGAAGCTCTTTGTCGTTTTGCTTTTTGGGTGAGGCAATTGGGGTTAAGTGACTTGTCCAGGATCACACAGCTAGTAAGTGTCATGTGTCTGAGGCTGGATTTGAACTCTGGTCCTCCTGACTCCAAGGCTGGAGCTTATCCACTGTTCCACCTAGCTGCCCCTGAAGCTCTTTGTCTTAAAAGGAAGTGGGGGTGATTTAATAAGGTATTAGAGTTTACAAACCCCATGAAGGAAGTATAAGGATTATAATCCCAATTTAATCCAACCAGCATTTATTAAATAGAAGCAATTTGGTATAGTGGATAAGGTACTGGTAGTCCTCAGTTCAAATCCTGCCTCAGACATGAGATACTTAACAATGACCCTGAGCAAGTCACTTCCTGTGCCTCCTTTTCCTCATCTGAAAAGGGAGAGAGAGGGAAGAGGTGAGCTCAGTAGTTTGTAAAGTCCTTTCTAGTTCTGAATCTATGCTCCTATGTATATACAATTTGCTGGGCATTAGGATCCCAGCATTTAAGGAGCCTACAATTCTACTGGGGAAACAACATGTGAACAGCCCAAGTTGATCTGATAGAGAATATGCTGAGGAAGTATGGGGGAGAGGGGTGCACTGATTACTGGAGGAATCACTTGATTTTCACATTTTACAAATGACACTTGTTTGAAGTATATAACTGACTCTCTTTGAAAAGATAGTTCCACAAGTCAAACTGGAGTGTCTTTTTCCTAGGCAACTTTTTCCTGCTGTCTTTATGAGAAAATCAAATTCCAGGCTCTACCACTTCCCAAGCATACCACTACCAGGGAATCATTATTTTTGACTGCCTTTAACTTTGGAAATATCTGAGTTATATTTTGTTTTGTTTGACCATTGGGTATAAGAACTTCATATTTTATTTTTCTCATCCCTGCTAGTATTCTATATGTTTTTATCCCTGCTTGGTCCTGTCCCTACCCAGGTTTGATAGCTTGTGTGAACTTTTTCCTTGAGTAGAAATGAAGGTGTGTGTTGGTGTTGTGAGGTTGGGAGGGTGAGCGTGGATCATAGCATCTAGAGCTAAAAGGGACCTTAGAGATTATCACCACATTTTACAGATAAGGAAATTTAGGCCTGGGAGAATTTCAAGGATGGAAACCAATAAATCTTGGACCTGAGATTTGAACCTGGAACCAATAAACTGATAAAATAATAAAGGGACAGTATAGATGAAATTCTGCCAGGGCAGTACTGGAGCCTCATTCTCAAATGCATGAGAAAGTTCATTAATCTGGGTGTAAAGGACCACCTGTGGACTTCCAGTACAGTATAATCTTCTTGAGGGTCAGAGCTGTTTCATTTTTGTCTTCGTATGCCTCACACCTAGATCGAATTGCCTGCCACATAGGAGGCATTTAATAAGCTTGTAAATTGATATATTTTATTTTGTTAAATATTTCCCAGATTATTTTAATCTGGTTCTGTCTGTACTCGGGAGTGTTGGTCTTCATACCATGTGTTTTGACACCTGGTGCAAGGAACTCACCAAGAGGAAACTCCCCATACCAGTTCATAGAGTAACTTTACCATCCTCTTCACATATCATAATAAGTGCACAACAGCTTGAGGGTATCTGTGCTATTGCTGGTTGAGTAAACAGCTTCTCCCTGCTCCAAAGGAATATCACTCTGAGCATTATTTGTTTTGTGAATGTTGCGTCTTTCTTCTGGTTAACCTTCGGATTAAATCTTTGGAAGTGGGGGTTGTAAGTACATCCTTGGTTAATTTTTGAGTAGGAGCTGTAACATTGGTAATCCAAAAATAGTTTGCGTGTGATTTGGGAATTCACTCCCTCCCCTCCCCATACATACACACACCTCCTTCCCACCTCCAGAAATTAACTGTTTCATTTAAGCTCATATTAATTTGGGTTTGTATTCCCTGAATACTCTTGGTGGTCCAGAAATGGCAAAGTGTAGGGGAGACAACTGCACTTGCTGTATGTGGAGCCAGAGGGATATTAGTTCACATCCCAGCTCTGCATCTTACAATAGTACAAAGAACATTTGGATTTGGAGACAAGGAGGCAAAGGACCTCAGTTCAAATCCTAGCTCTTCTCTTTAACCTTTCTCCACATGATAGCATACATTAAAGGACAACAGTTGGGGAGCAAAAGTGTTGGAAGCTCAATGTTTTAAATTTTTGTCAAGTGCGTGTATGTCTCTCTTTATGGTGATTTTAAAAGAGCTTTGGAACAACCTGGTTTGACCTTAGAAGAACTTCATACTGGATTGTCCTTTGTTCACTAACATTATTTCAAGTCTAAGTTGTAACTTCTAATTCTACTCCACAAAGAGCCAGATTCTCTTTTTGTAAGGTATAGGCAATGTGACCTTGGTGTCATTATGTGGCCCAGTGAAATTTTAGTGGTTTTGTGCCAACTTCCTCCTTATATCATAGATAATGTTTTCCTTTTATTCTTTATTTTTTTTTACCATGGGCAAGTCATTGGCCTCAGCTTCTTATCCATAAACTCAGGGGACTTAAACTAAATAGCCTTTAAGGTCCCCACCCACTCAAAATCTGTGATCCTACAAACCTTGGGTAAATCATTTACCTGTCCTGGATTTTATCATGTCTAAAATAAGGGTGTTGAACTATATGATCTTTAAGGTACCTTTTAGCTATGATCTTGTTTGTTGCAGGGAAGGAGAGAGGAAGCCATGTTTACAGCTTCATTTAATATTACTTTATTAACTCTGCAGGCTAGCCAAATCAGTCTACTGACTCTTAATGTGAACTCTACGTTCTGTGTCCTGCTTTGCAGTGTTTAAACAAACCATTACCCCTTGCTTGGAATGTACTCTGTCCTTCTGACTCAGAATCCTTGTCTTCTTCAAAGCTGAGCTCAGGTGACACCTTCTTAAACTGTCAATCAGCAAGTGTAGATTCTGAGGCAAAATCGAAAAAATCCCTCCCCTCAAGGAGTTTATGACCTATCCAGGGGAGACAATATATATTACTTATATAAGCACATACTAAAATGACATGAGGCAGTTGTGGAGGGAATCAGCAGCAGCTATGATGGGATCAAGAAAAGCTTTGTATAGAAGGTTGCATTGAGCTGAGCCTTGAAGGAAATTAGGGATTCTAAGAACGGAAGATACAGAGGAACTGCATTCCAAGCATGGGGGACAACCAGGGCAAAAAGAAAAGGAAATTTCCTTATTAAAAAAAAAAGGAAAAGGAATGATCTGGACCCTAGCAAAAAGGTAGGTTGGAGCCACATTGTGAGAGACTTTAAATGCCAAACAGAGGAGTTCATATTTGATCCTTGAAATTATGTGGCACCAATGCAGTTGTGGAGTGACATGGTCAGATTTGTACTTTTAGAAAATCCTTTGGTAGCTGTGTGGAGGAGGATGGATTTGAGTTGAAGACAGACCTCAGGCAGAAGAAACAACTAAGAGGTGATGAGGTACTGAACTAGAATAGTGACTGTATGATTGCAACAAAAGAGGGAAGGAATCAAAAAAATGCTGTAGAGGTAGAAGGGACAAGATTTAGCAATTGATTGTGCTTGTCAAGAAATAAAGAATTGCCATAGCTTTTAGGAATGAGGAATAATAGCCCTACTGTACTCTGTCCTGGTTAGACTACGTCAGATCAAATACAGTTGCAAGTCATGTCATCATTTCCCTGATGTCATGGTCCTCTTCAAGAACGAAGGACAAACCACAACATCTGGAGGATCGAATTCAGTTTAGGATGCCATGTTTTACGAAGGAGGAGGTCAACCAGGATGATTGGACCCTGAGCGATTAATTGAAACAACTATAGATATTCATCCTAGAGAAAAGAAGACTTATGGGGGGAAATTATCATTGGTTTTCAAGTACTTGCAAGGTCCTCAAGGATCAGACTTGTTCTGCTTGGCTTTTAAGGGCAGAATAAGGAACAGTGAATAGAAGTTTCATAGAGGCAAATTTTAGTTTAAAGAAAAATAAGTAGATCTGTCCAAAGGTGGAATGGTTTTCATTTGGAGGTGTCATGGGTTCCCCCTTATTGCATGTATTGGTTGAACTAGGTGGTCACCTCGATCCCTTCCAATTCTGAAATTCTAGAATGTGAATTGGATTAGTCTGTTAAATGAACATAATGTTCAGCATTATCAACAACAACAGTGAAGATATTATTGAATGCTTACTTACTGTACCCTTCTAGTCTCCTTGAGTTTTATGAGGCACAGTTCTTTCCCCAAGGAAACTCATCTAGTTAGAAATGAGTTGTTAAAAGTTGTCTGAACTAATTATAGAAATTCTCTTTATTCTCTCCTTCCCCCATGCCTCCTCCAGGCAAAAGTTCATATAGGTAATAAAGAAGGCTATCCCTTTATCCAGAAAAACACAAAGTTGTAATTGAACTATGAATAAATATGGTTTGAGGTTTGCCTTAGCCCTCTACATTCTCTCTCCATTTATTTTGTTGTTGTTGTTACTCTTGTTCACAGGTCCCTTCACAGATGTTGTCACCACCAACCTGAAACTTGGCAACCCTTCTGACCGAAATGTATGTTTTAAAGTGAAGACTACTGCACCCCGCCGGTACTGTGTGAGACCCAATAGTGGAATTATTGATGCAGGAACATCAATCAATGTATCTGGTAAGTGTCAAAACCACAGGTGATTAATTGGGCATTTCAAGGATGGTCTCTTGAAACTTAAAGATAGTCCCCTCTTTTTTCCCCTTACTATTTTGGTTCCCTTTCTTTACCCATCCACCTCCTTATCCCCACCCCACCTCCCACCCCCAAAAAGGAAAGAAGTTCATAGCAGTGGGAGAAGAATTGAACAGGAACAGTTAAGATTTAGGATCATAGATTTAGATTTAAAAGGGACCTTAGCAAAAATTCAACATCCGCATTTCAGAGATATGATAGAAAGAAGTTTAGAGTCCAAGGACCTGTGTCCTTGGGCAAATGATTTCCACTTTGTGTGCCTCACTTTTTCCCTATACAGAATTGCAGAACTGGATTAGAGAGTTTCTAAAGACCCTTTCCATTCTAAATCTAAAATCTTGCTTAGCTTTTACTTTTCCATTTTAAAAGCCTGTTTAATGTTTACAACCTATGGTTAGAGCAAACTTAAAATGGTAAACAAAGAGTTCATTTCAGGATAGGTTCAGTTTACAGTCCTTCAAAAAGTAACATACTTTTTGGCAATAAATAAGAGCCTAAATAAACTTGATTATTTTGCTTTGTGGAAAAAGGTTAAATGAAAATATTTTCTTGTCCTAGTGAAATTATTTCTGAAATTAATTCTTATGTAATTTATAATTGTATTTGCAAGCTAGAGAAGGAGGAGGTTGTTGGGAGTTAGACTATATTCAAGTCTGGTAATTTGGAATGTTTTTGAAGACCTTATTTTTCCCTATCACAAAACGCTGGTCTTTTCTGAAAAGTGGAGCTTGTGAAGAACTATAGATACCGTGTCCAAATTTTGAGTGGCATTTTTAAATTATAAAGAACTAGGTGATTGAATTTTTTGACATATTTCAGCAATGAATAACTTCAGTTCCTCTAAGGATATATTATGGGTGCTTCTGTAAGCTTTCAAGCATGATATAAGATGGTCATAATCTACATCATTGCTTCTCAAACTAATGATTTGGTGAAAGAAGAGGGATTGACAACATGGGAGACGGCTAGGTGGTGTAATAGAGTGTTGGATTTGTAGTCTCAATGACCTGAATTAAAAATCTTTTATTAGATACTTAACAGCTTTGTGACCCTGGCAAGTTCTATAATTCCTCTTAGTTTCAGTTTCCTCCAATAGTACCAATAATAGCATCCAGAGTTGTGGTGGGGATCATGAAATAACATATTAAAGCAGTTTGTAAACACTAAAGCAGTTAGTTGCTGTCAGTTGCTATTATTATGAATACTCTGAAGCTTGAATTGACAGAACGTACGTGTGTGTGTGTGTGTGTGTGTAGACACACACACTGATTTGAATGGTCACTGATATTTATCATAAATCAGAGGTTCAAGGTAACTTTGGAAGATAGTAAGGATTTTTTCTATACTGAACATATATGTTTTTGATACAAGCTGGAATAACATCAGAGTGATTCAGAGAAAAGAGCTGTCTTTTCTGTGAACTTTCATGTCCTATTTCTATGAGAATTCTCCTATACCAGTCTATTTACCTCCACCCATCGCCTCTTATTGCTGATGCTACATCAAGAGAGAAAAGACTATTCATTGCCTGCCTTTTACTTTATTTGTACCCCAGCCCAAACCCCTGTGTCTTGCCTTGTCTGACCTCTCCCTTCCATTTGTCAGTCTCAGGAAAAAGAGCTTTCCTTCTTCCATCTGTTCCCAGGCAATTATTGCTTTTAGATCAAAAGTTTTTTCATGGAACTTATATCCTCTGAGATGCCAAGATTCTATGTGTATAGTATGTTCTGTACAACACTTGTATGTTGTAGCATCATCCCTCTAATGTCATGGTCTTCTTCGAGAACAATGGACAAACAACCCAGCAACCTCATCCTGGGGCTGGCCAACAGGAAGACCCCACCCCTGCAGCAGACCAGAAACAAGATCTCCTCTCCAGGACCAGCCACCAGAAAGACTGTTACCATAGCAACCCAGCAACAAGGCCCCACCCCTAGAGCAAGCCAGCAGCTAAACCCTGTACCCAGGGGAGGCCAATGTTGAGACTCCCCTCCCCCCCACCCCAGTACAAGTCAGAAGGGAAGCCTACCCGCCAGAGGAAGCAAGCAGTTAAGCCCTGAAGCCCAGTGAAAGCCAGCAGTAAGACCCAGAGCCCCAGCACAAAAGGCCTGGGACAATGCAAAACCGGAACCCAACTCTCACATAAAAACACCACGTCACCAAAAAAAAGGCAAAAAAATGAGCACAAAACAAGAAGAAGGAAAAAAAAGAGAACTTGACTATAGAAAGTTACCATGGTGATAAGGAAGATCAAGGCATAAACTTAGAAGAGGACTATAGAGTCAAAATGGCCACATGTGAATCCTCAAAGAAAAATGTAATTTGGTCTCAGGCCCAAAAAGAATTCCTGGAAGAACTTTAAAAGGGTTTTTAAAAGCAAATTAGAGAAGTAGAAGAAAAATTGGGAAAAGAAATGAGAGTAATGCAAGAGAACTGCGGGGAAAAAAAAGTCAGTATCATGGGAACATATACAAAAATTTACTGAGGAAAATAACTCCCTAAAAAATAAAATTGGAAAAGGAAATACAAAAGCTCACTGAAGAAAATAATTCCTTAAAAATATAATTTAACAAGCGGAAAATGATTCTCTGAGACATCAAGATACAATAAAACAAAATCAAAAAAGTAAAAACAATAGAAGAAATTTTTCATTGGAAAAATAATTGACCTAGAAAATAGATCCAGAAGAGATAATATAAGAATTATTGGACTACCTGAAAGCCATGATCAAAGAACAAACCCTGGACAACAGTTTTCAAGAAATTATCAAAGAAAACTGCCCTGATATATTAGAACCAAAGGGCAAAATAGAAATTGAAAGAGTTCATTGATCACTGCCTGAAAGAGATCTCAAAATGAAAACTCCCAGGAATGTCATAGCCAAATTACAGAGCTCACAAATCAAGGAGAAAATATTGCAAGCAGCCAAAAAAAATTAAGATATCATGGAGCTACAGTCAGTGTTACACAGGATTTGGCAGCTTCCACATTTTACCAGAGGACTTGAAATATGATAATACCAGAAGGTAAAGGAGTTAGGATCATAACCAAGAATCACCTACCCAGCAAAATTGAATGTAATCTTTCAGAGGAAAAAAATGGACATTGAACGAAATAGAGGAGTTTCAAGCATTTCTTAGTAAAAGACCCCAGCTGAATAAAAAAATTTGACCTCCAAATACAAGATTCAAGAGAAACTTAAAAAGATAAAAAAGAAATAAAGAGAAAACATAAATTCAATAAGGTTAAATTGTTTATATTTCTGTATGGGCAAGATTATATTTGTAATTCTTAACAACTTTATTACTATAAGAACAATTAGAAGAAGTATATGTAGACAGAGGGTGTGGAATAAGGTGACTTTGATGGGATGATACCCTGAAAAAAAAAAACAAAATAAAGGGTTGAAAAAGAAAATTTCACTGAAAGAAGGAGGGGAGAGATTTAGTGGGGGTAATTATCTCACATAAAAGAGGCATGAAAGAACTATTATAATGGAGGGGGAAATGGGGGTGGGGTGGCGGGCGAAGCTTAAAACTTACTCTCATCAAAATTGACTCAAAGATATCATAACATACACATTCAGTTGAATATAGAAATCTGTCTTACACTATAAGGAAGTAAAAAGGGACAGGGATAATAGAAGGGGAAGGGGGAACTGATAAAAGGAAGGTTAGATTGATCAGAAGTAAACACTTGTGAGAAGGATGGGGTGTAAAAGAGAGTGAGGGATAAACAAGCAAAAAGTAGCATGGAGGAAAATACATAATTATCACAACTATAAATGTGAATGAGATGAACTCATCCGTAAAACAAAAGTGGATAGCAGAATGGATTAAAAACCAGAATTCAACATTATGTTGTTTACAAGAAACACATTTGAAGCAGAGAGATACATGCAAGGTAAAGGTAAGAGACTGGAGCAGAATTTATTCTGCTTCAGCTGAAGCAAAGAAAGCAGGGATAGTAATCATCATCTTAGACAAAGCAAAGCAAAAGTAGATCTAATTAAAAGAGATAAAGAAGGAACCGATATCTTGCTTAAAAGGTACCATAGACAATGAAGTCATATCAATACTAAACTATATGAACCAAATCGTATAGCATCTAAATTTTTGAAGGAGAAGTTGAATGAGTTACAGGAGGAAATAGATAATAAAAATATATTAGTGGGGGACCTGAATTTTCTCCTCTTAGAACTAGATAAATCTAACAAAAAAAAAAACAAGAAAGAAGTTAAGGAGGTGAATAAAATTCTGGAAAAGTTAGATATAATAGATCTCTGGAGAAAATTGAATGGGAATAGAAAGGAATGTAGCTTTTTCTCAGCAGTACATGGCACCTACACAAAAATTGACCATATATCAGGACATAAAACTCTAACAACCAAATGCAGAAAAGCAGAAATAGTAAACACATTCTTTTCAGATGATAATGCAATAAAAATTACATTCAATAATGGACAGTGGGAATAAAGATTAAAAATTAAGTAGTCTAATGGTAAAAAAAGAAGTGCATCAAAGAATGAATCATACAAATGATTGATAATTTCATTTTTTAAAATGACAACAGTGACACAACATACCAAATTTTATGGGATGCAGCCAAAGCAGTACTTAGGGGAAAATTTATATCTCTGATTGCTTACATCAGTAAAATAGAGAAAAGGCAAATCGATGAATTGAGCATGCAACTAAAAAAAAAAAACTAGAAAAAGAACAACTTTAAAATCCCCAATTAAACACCATATTGGAAATCCTGCAAATCAAAGGAGAGATTAATAAAATTGAAAGTAAGAAAATCATTGGACTAATAAATAAAACTAAAGGCTGATTTTATAAAAAAAAATAAAATAGATAAACCATTGGTTAATTTGATTTAAATTAAGGAAAGAAGAAAACCAAATTACTAGTATTAAAAATGAA